TGGTGGTATACTCCTTTAACTCCAGCTCTTCAGAGGCAGAGACCAACCTGGTCTACATAGAGAGGCCCTACCTCAGAAAAAAAACAACAACAAATTAAGGTGGGGCTGGCATTTAGCTTGTAAAGAGATTTGCTGCCAAGCCTGAAGACCCAAGTTTGATCCCCAAGACCCACCTAGTGGAAGGAGAGAACTGACCCCTGCAAGTTGCACTCTGACCTCCACATGGGCACAGTGACACACACCGTGAGACACACACACACACACACACACACACAATATAATATAAAAACAAATAAATTGGGGGCTGGAGAGATGGTTTAGTAGTTAAGAGCACTGGCTACTCTTGCAGAGGACCCAGGTTCAGTTCCCAGCATCCACATAGCACTAACAACTACCTGTAATTTCAGTTCCAAGGGATGTGATGCACTCTTCTGGCTTCTGTGGACACTGCACAACACAGGTGCACTTACATATCCACAGACACTGATACACATTTAAAAAAAAAAAAAAAAAAAAGAGCCAAGCTGGACATGGTGGTGTATCCCTTTAGTCTCTGCATGTGAGAGGCAGAGGCAGGAGAATCTCTGTGAGATCAAGGCCAGCCTGGTCTATATAGCAAGTTCCAGGGCAGCTGGGGCTACAGGGAGACCCTGTCTCAAAAAGACAAAAACAAAAAAAAATCATGAGTCAGAGAGATGGCTCAGCAGTTAAGGGCACTGGCTGCTCTTGCAGAGGACCCAGGTTTAATTCCCAGCATCCAAACGTCAGTTATGACTCCAGTTCCAGAGGATCTGACACCTTCTTCTGATCTCTGCATGTATTATATGACACGGTTCACTTACACACATGCAGGCAATACACTCATACATATAAAAAATAAATAAATATTTTTTTAAAAAATCAAGGTGGATGGCTTCTAAGGAACAGCACTCAGACTCCATCATACCCCCCCAAAAACTAATATTTAAAAACTTCAAAATTCATTCATGCAGAAGGGGTACTATTTGGTAAGAGAAGGGGGACCAGAGGAAGAAGAAAGGGTAGTGGGGGTGAATGAGTAAATCATAATGATACACATTATAGAAATGTCATAATATAATCCATTATTTTGCATGTTAACTAAGAAGATTTAAAATACTCAATTTAGCTTTAGTGGGCACTATTTCAGTCTAAGCCATCCCCGCTGAGACACTGAACCTCCTCTCACTGACATACATACTCTTCCTCTTGCTTCCATGACTCTTAGAATACCCATAAATCTGGTTTTTGTTTCTCCTGCTTTGGTTACTTCTCAGAAGCCTTTTTAATATTTATTTATTTATTTATTGGTCTTTTTGAGACAGGGTCCCCTTGTAGCCCCAGCTGGCCTGGAACTCGCTTTGTAGACCAGACTGGCCTTAAACTCACAGAGATCCGCCTGCCTCTGCCTCCCTGCTGGGACTAGAGGCGTGCGCCACCACGCCCAGCCCTGCCCCCCATTTTTTTTAAAGACAGGTTCTCACTGTGTAGACCTAGCTGGCCTAGAACTTGCTATGTACATGAGGCTGGCCTCAAACTCACAGAAATCTACCTGCCTTTGTATTCCAAGTGATGGAAGGCATACACCACCAGGCCCAGCTCACTTCTTAGACTCTTAAGTGGAAGGGACACTGACTTTTTCAGACCATAGGGGCATTGCTGAACAGAAAGAGATATGAAGATAACTTCCTAGGAAGTCCTTAGTATTAACACAAGGAAAAAAGGCTTATTCATGAATAAGTCAATCAGTTACACCAAGGTAAACACAACCTACTTTGTATTTATTTTATTATTTTTTTATTTTATGTATCTGAGTGTATTGACTGCACATATGTAAGTGCATCCATGTTGTGCAATGCCTGAGGAGGTCAGAAGAGGGAGTCTGATTCCCATGGAACTGGAGTAACAGTTAGTTGTTAGTCACTATGTAGGTGCTAGGAAATGAACCTGGGTCCTCTGCAAGAGCAGTTAGTGCTCTTAAACACTGAGCCATCTCTCCAGCCCCATGCTTTGTATTTTTGTGTAAGTGTGCATGCCTGTATGTATATAGTATATATGGGTGCATGTGTATGTGCAAGCATGTGGAGGCCAGAGTATAACCCTGGGTGTTATAGTTCCTCAGGTGCCACATACCTTGTCTTTTTTATAACATGGTCTCTCATTGGCCTGGAGCTCATTAATTAGGCTAGACTGGCTGGCCTATAAGTCCCGGAGAACCTCTGTCTCTACCTCCCCAGCTCTGGGATTACAACCATGGGCCATGGCCCTGGCCTTTTGCACAGGTTCTAGGGACTGAACTCAGTTTTCATGCTATGTGGCAAGCACTTCCCCTCTTAGCCATGTCATCTTGGCTATTCTTTTCACAGTGCTGTGGACTGAATCCCAGGCCTCGACATGCTAGGAAGTACTCTACCACTAAGCTTCACTTCCCAGTCCTACTTTGTATTTCTTAAAATGAGAGCTTGGTGGAGGCTGGAGAAATGGCTTAGCAGCTAAGAGCACTGGCTGTTCTTGCAGAAGACTGGAGTTTGAATCCCAGCACCCACATAGCATGTAACTGGAGTCTATAACTCCAGTTCCAGGAGATCTGATGGCCTCTTCTGTTCTCTGTGGGCACTGCACAACATGGGTTCACTTACATACATGCAGCAATACACTCATACACATAAAATAAAAAGTAATAAATAGGGGCTGGAGAGATGGCTCAGCAGTTAAGAACACTGTTCTAGCAGAAGACCCAGGTTCGAAACCTAGCACCCACATGGCTGCTAACAACTGCCCGAAACTCCAGTTCCAGGGGATCTGACAGCCTCTTCTGTCCTCCACGGGCATTGCACGACACAGATGCACTTACCTACACATAGGCAATACACGCATACACATATAATAAAAATCATAAAAAAAGAAATGAGAGACTGGTATTATTAGGAGAATAAAGACCCAATGATACTAAAGTTTTATGCCACAAATCCTGCTTCTGCTGGGGAGTTCCAGTCTGGAGAGTTCCTTGACCTGACCCTTTAGGAGTCACAGGAGGGGTGTGTTTGTGTGTGCGAGTGTGTGTGGACCCAAGGCTCTTTTAACTTAGAATGGAGTAGGTCTGCTCAGGATTGTGTAAGGGAAAGGATGGGGCGGCATTCCTGGTCAGTGCTATAAGAAAAGCCAGCCTATCATGTATAATCCACAGGCTAATCACACCAGAGCTCCAGAGATCGGGAGGGCTCCTCTCAAGCTGTCTGGTCAAAGTCAGGAAGTAGGTCTTATTGACTTTCATTTCTCTCATTATAAAGCACAGAACATGGTAAATATTAAAATGCTCAGTAAATATTTGCTGATCTAATGAATTAAGGGGGTTGATATAGTATGCCCTTCAGGCATTTAATCTGGTCATAAGTAAGAGTCATCTGGCGTTAGCCTAAGATGAGCTGTGTTTCAACTCCCAGCCACACCAACTCTAGTTCTTGTGAAATGAAAAGCAAACTAGAATACCTGTGTGTTTACATATATATCATACATGAAACCATATGCCAAGTTCATAGAGCCTTGCTACAAGAGGGCACTTCAACAATGGACAGAGATGGAAACTGGCTCCTTTAAATGCTTAGTGGAGTGTTGGCACACATTTTCAAAAGTTTTGAGGAGAAGCTCCTATTCCAAATCCTTTATTTTTCTACAGTCAGAAGCTTGCCTGATGCCTATATAAGGGTGTCTAGCCATAACTTAGAGTCCAAATCTTCTTAACTATAGTCGCTACATCTAACTTTTAGTACTTATCCTAATTGAGTTCTTATACTATTAAATGTACATTAAAATGATGGACAGTAAATGCCACATGGTAGTAAGGTGCTCAGAGACTTGTGGAAGGCTCAGGAAAGCTTTGCTTGGGAGATAGACACCAGGCTTCTTTCCACCATTACATTTAGCGGCTATATTTTAGCACTTTTTAAAAAAAAAAAAAATCATACTATTATTTGTTTTTCAAGGAATTACTTTTTTTTTTCTTTTTCTTTTTTTTTTTTTTTTTTGTCTTTTTGAGACAGGGTCTCCCTGTAACGGGTGGAACTAGGATTTGGAACTTAGGGTGGATGCTAAGCCCAGGAATGGGGTGGGTAGATCTGGCAGCCTCAGACCCAGGCTTGAAGAAAGGGGTTCTTCAAAGAGACTCCACTGTGATGTGGGAGCAGGAGCTGGCCCTACATACAAGTTCCTACTCTTATGGCTCTACCTTGCCTTGTGTCATGGTTTTGATGTGACGTGTCCCGCCCGCCCAAAGATACACTTATTGAAGGCTTATCCTGCAGCTGTGGACCCAATCATGGAGAGGTGATTGGATCGTGGGAGCTGTGACCTCCTCCATGGATTAATCCAATGAAAGACCAGGCTGGCCTTGAACTCACAGAGATCTGCCTGCCTCTGCCTCTCAAGTGCTGGGATTAAAGGCATGTGCCACTATGCCCGGCTAGCACATATTTTTTAAATCTGCACTGACAACAATGGTTTTATAATAAAACTGAACAGTTCCACTTAATTACTGCTTCAGGGCTGGAGAAACAGCTCAGCTGGTAAAGGCAGGTATTTCTCTACATGAGCCATGCTCGCGTACCAATAAAATAAATCTTTTTTCCTTTCTTTTTTTCTTTTCTTTTTTTTTTTAAGACAAAGTTTTACTATGTAGCCCTGGCTGGCCTGGAACTCTATGTAAACCAGGCTGGCCTCGAACAAACAAAGATCCCCCTGCCTCTGCCCTCTTCCTCTCCCCGTCTCTAGCACTGGGATTAAAGGTGTGTGCTACCACTCCTGGCAAAAATAAATCTTAAAAAACAATAATAACTGTTATTAGAAATCATAGGTCAGAGCCAGGAATGGTCATGTACACCTATAATCACAGTACTGGGTAGGTGGAGCCACTATTGAGTTCCAGGCCAACTTGAGCTGTCACAAATACAAACAAAAAGAAGGAACTGAAAGGTCAGCATCTCTACCTAAGGAGACTTCCTTGATCAGCTCAGCAGCAGCATGGCAACCCTGAACAAGTGTCCTGGTCCAGGCTGACAGATCCCGATGTGTCTCAACCCTGAAGAGATGCATCTCAATGCCCTGCCGGGAGCCCGTCCTGGTAGCAAAGGTAAGGTCAGATCCAAGGGAGGGTGACCGACATCCAGAACCAGAATGAACCAACCTAGGACCACAAATAGAATAGAGATCTAAAGTAATTACTGCAGGACTGGGAGAAAATGCCAGGAATTAATGCTCATTTATAAATAAGTAGAAACTTACAAAGGCCTTCAGCAGTTTTCAGAGAAGAAATACATCTCAAAGCAAGATTATAGTATTTTAAAGTAATTACTACTCTGCTAGCCCATAAAATAACCCCAAGTGTCATAGGAGGCAGGATTCTGTTGTCTTCATAAAGAAAATACTTACCAACGGAAAAACAAGTAAAACTTCAGTCAGATGTGGTAGCGCATGCCTATAATCCCAGCACTTGGGCAGCTAAGGTGAGAGGATCCTAAGTTTGAGGTCAGCCTAGGCTACAGAGAATGATCTTGTCTCAAAATAAAAGAAGCACTTGGGAGGCAGAAGCAGGGGGATCTCTGTGAGTTTGAGGCTAGCCTGGTCTACATAGAGTTCCAGTCTAGCCATAGCTACTTGAAAAAAAAAAAAAAAGCCAAACAATAGTAACACAACCAACCAACCAAAAACCCCCAACCACAGTGCTTGCTTAGGCATCACATATACTAAAATTAGAATGATTAGCATGGTCCCTGCACAAGGATGACACACAAATTCATGACTCATTCCATATTTTTATTTAAAACTGACTATAAGGACCACTGTATTTATGATCCATATGGCAAGGTTAAAATTATGTTAAAACAAAACAAAATAAAAACCAGTCAAGGGGTTAGAGAGATGGCCCAGAGTTAAGAACACTGGCTGCTCTTGAAGAGCATGCAAGTTTGGTTCCCAGATAATGACCATCTGTAACTCCAGCTGCAGAGGATCCGATACCCTGTTCCAGCTTCTGTTGGCACGGAACACTACAATGCATATACAGACAAGCAGGTACATACACACATATATAAAGAAGATGAAATTATTAAGAAAAGAAATAGGGCTGGAGAGATGGCTCAGCGGTTAAGAACACTGACTGTTCTTGCAGAAGACCTGGGTTTGAATCCCAGCACCCACATGGCAGCTAACAACTGTCCGTAACTCCAGTTCCAGGGATTCCAACAGCCTGTTCTGACCTCTGCTGGCATTAATCTATAAATGATTCTACTATATAATCCAGTTATACCATTCCTTGGCATATACCCAAAGGAGCAGCTAACAACTGTCCGTAACTCCAGTTCCAGGGATTCCAACAGCCTCTTCTGTCCTCCATGGGCATTGCACAACACGGGTGCACTTACCTACATGCAGGCAGGCAATACATGCACACACATAACATAAAAAATAATAAATAAAATATTAAAAATATAAAAATAACTAAGCTGGGTGTGGTGGTGTGCACCTTTAATCCCAGCACTCATAGGCAGAAGCAGGTGGATCTCTGTGAGATCAAGGTCAGCCTGGTCTACATAGTGAGTTCTAAGCCGGCTGGAGCTGTCTTTAAAATTTTTTAAAGACATTTTTATGTTAAAATGGTTCCCCACCCCGAAGGTCAGGGGAACACAATGACAACTGACATAGGGTGTATGTGTGTGTGTGTGTGTGTAAAACACAAGTTGTGGCCAATTGCCCCAAAACATGTAAAGGTATAAAGCTACCTATACTCTAACTTACCCTCAGGGCAACCGTCAACACAGTGAAAAATACAAATAACATTTTAGTATTATTGTGAAATACTTTTGAATTTACAGACTCATCGAAAAGTGTATCTCCACAGCCTATGGAGTATACTTTGAGAACTGCTTTACTAAGCTAATTGCTATAGAATTAACATGCCAACTGGACATGAGCTATCTCAGAAAGTTAGGTAAGTTTTAAAATAACTACATATGAGCCAAGTATGATGGGCTATAGAGGAAAGGGACAGGATTATTCTACCATATTCAGCTCAATTAATAAACCCAAGTTAAATATCACAAAATTAAAGTCTAGAAGAACTTCCCCCCCTTACAGATTTGATTATGAAATTTTTGGTAGAGAGAATCTAATTCAAACCAGCTGCTGGACTTGTGGGAACCAGCAGTTGGTTAGGACACACTGCCAACCCCTCCCTCCACTTTTTGTGGGAGGCCAGATGAGCTCATGCAAAGGCGTTTAGCCACTTTCACCCTGGTAGTCCTGACAGCACAGCACCACTCAATTTCCCACACTGCAAAGTAGCTCATTTTCCCTTGGGCTCTTTTTTTTTTCCTTCCAGTCAAAGATAGTTTACATAGGGCAAGACTACAAAATCTATAGCATCTATAAAATTAATGTTTTTCCATGTGTCTGGCTTTGAGCTTAAGAAACATTAAAAACAAAAATCCCCATTATCACGCTCAGGTTTTACTTAGTTTCTTACTGGTCAAAAAAGTCCATTATTCAGAAACACACAGACACACACACTGTTTTGATTTCTAAGAATCTAAATGTGCAATTCAATATAAACTGTAACTCATGTTAATTACATCAACCTAACAATGTTACTTGATTTTAAAGTACAATTAATTCTTATCAGGGATATTTAGTTTTGCAAATAATCAAGATCTTTAACTTCTTTTCCTCCTCTCTCTGTTTTATGATATCCTTTTCCCTGCCTATTCATTTAAAAGAACATGTACTTTTGCTTGTGAAAGCCAGAGGTCAATGTGGGTGTCTTCCTCAATTGTTCTGTGTTATTATTATTAATATTTAAAAAATATTTTATTATTTTTATGTGTATGAGTATATTGCCTGCATGTATATGAGTGCACCCATGTCGTGCAATGCTGCGGAAGTCAGATGAGGGCTTTGGATTTCCCTGGAATTGGAGTTAAGGGTGGTTCGTAGCCGCCATGTGGGTGCTGGGAATCGAACCCGGATCCTCTGCAAGAGCAGTCAGTACTCTTAACCGCTGAGCCATCTCTCCAGCCCCTATTTTTGCTCTTTTAGAGACAGAGTCTCCCTGTAGCCTCACATGGCCTAGAACTTGCTATGCAGACCAGGCTGGACTCAGTCTCACAGAGATTCACCTACCTCTGCCTCCTGAGTGCTGGGATTAAGGGTACAAGCTACCATGCTACATTATTCTTGCCACAGAGTCCCTCACTGAACCTTGAGCTCACTAATTCAGGTAGGTTGGCCAGCCAGTGAGCTCCAGGGACCCCAGCTCTCTGCCACCCCAGCACAGGATTACAGTCATACCTAGTTTTTTTATTTTATTTTATTTTTGAGACAGGGTCTCCCTGTAGCCCCAGCTGTCCTGATACTCACTGTATAGACCAGGCTGGCCTTGAACTCACAGAGATCCACGTGCCTGTGCCTCCCAAGTGCTGGGACTACAGGCATACGCCACCACACCCGACTATACCTGGTTTTTAACAAAGGTGCTGGGGATTTGAACTCAGATCTTCATGCTTGCACAGCAAAAACTTTACCAACTGACCAGACCCCCACTTCATTTTCTTGATGATCATATATTTCCCCTCCTTTTACAGGTGCCTTTTCTTTCTTTCTTTTCTTTTTTTTTTTTGAGACAGGATATCATGTAGTCCAGCTTAGCCTTGCACTCCTTATGAAGCTGACACTGTCCTGACCTTGAATCCTGATCCTTCTAGCTCTACTCCCTAAGTGCTAGGATTACAGGCATGCACTACCATGTATGGCTTTGCATGTGCTTTTGGTATCATACCTGAGAGCTCTGTCTAATCTAAACTCACCAAGATCAACTCTTATTTTCTAAAGGTTTATATAGTTTTAGCTCTGAAATCTTGTATCTTTTTCCCTAATTGCAAACTGCACATTTCCCTAATTCAGAGTGTACACACAACTACCCCTTTACTTCTTTGTTACCAAAGTGCTTTGATTATCTACATCCTGTCTAGTATCTGACCAATTGTCTAGCACAGAACAGTGACTTAGAGATGTTCTAAATTTCTGGAAAATATATTAATTGTACATCTAATTGTAACTACTGAAACATTTCCACATGTTTTTATAGGATTCCTGTCATGCTCACAATGCAATGTGACAGAGTACCTCCAGGACAAGTAAGAGAACTTTTTTTTTTTTTTTGGTCTTTTTGAGACAGGGTCTCCCTGTAGTCCCAGCTGGTCTAGAACTCCCTGTGTAGACTTGGCTGGCCTCAATCTCACAGAGATCTGCCTGCCTCTACCTCCCAGGTGCTGGAACTAAGGACGTGTGCCACCATGCCCAGATCTCTGTGAGTTTGAGGCCAGCCTGGTCTACACAACGAGTTCCAGACCAGCTGGGACTACAGGAAGACCCTATCTCAAAAGACCCCCACCCCCAAAATTTGTTGAGGCCTACTATATGTAGGCACAATGGGAAGTGCTAAGATGATGATATAGTTTTTTATATCAGTGAATATATTTTTGTGAATTTTCTTATGATGCAAAGAATTCTCTTCTCTACATGAATTGTTCAAAGCAGGAAACATCCAGTGTTCTCTATGGAACATATAAGATGGTTCCATCACTTTCCTCTCTGACTACCAAATACTTTTCTGTGGCTTACTTGCTTGCTTGCTTGCTTTCTTCCTTTCCTTTAAAAAAAAAAGTATGAGCGTTTTGCCTGCATGTTTGTTAGTGAACTCATGTCACAGAAGAAGGTGTTGGATTCCTTGTAACAGGTGTTAAGAAAGACTGTTAGCAGCCATGTGGATGCTAGAACCAAATCCAGGTCCTCTGAAAGCAGTCCTTGTGGGGCTTTTTTAATGTGTTGAGGTTGGCCTCGATCTCACAGAGATCCACCTGCCTCTGCCTCCTGAGTGCTGAGATTAAAGGTGTATGCCACCATGCCCGGCCTGAGTGTGCAGTTTTTGGAGTTATGTCAACACTTGATCTTTTTTAATTCCAAGTATGACTAAATTAGAATATGCTTTTTATGAGCTGGAGAGATGGCTCAGTGGTTAAGAACACTGGCTGTTCTTGCAGAAGACCTGGGTTTGAATCCCAGCACCCACACGGCAGCTAACAACTGTCCGTAACTCCAGTTCCAGGGATCTGACAGCCTCTTCTGTCCTCCGTGGGCATTGCACGACACAGGTGCACTTAACTACAGGTAGGCAATACACACATATGCATAAAATAAAAATAATAAATAAAATATTAAAAAAGAATATGCTTTTAAGTTTTACAGTTATTATCTCTGAAGACATCCTGTGCCCCCAGTCCAAGTTTCACTATCGTTCTCCCTCCCAACTCCCTGTGTCTGGGATACTAGAACCTTCTGTTGCTTCAAGTCAAAGTACTGTTTATTATTGTGTGCTCTTACACTGCAAAGAAGTGAAAGAACAAAAACTAAGTTAAGTAGTTTATCCATAGCACCACATTTTGGTTTAAATGATTTCATCACCCACTCAAAAGGCTGCTACAATTTCAGTGGTTTTTTTCAGTCACAGTCAATAAAAGCAAAGAAAAACAAACAAACAAAAAACCAAAAAAAAAAAAAACCCAAACTCCTACTACCTCCATGACCAAGCAAGTCTTGAAAGGAGCAATCACTCCTTGAATAACTTAAAAAAGCACACACAAAAGCAACGAGTGGCAGAAACAATTTATTCTGAGCTAAAAGCTGCAAAATGATCAATAGGTTGAGAAAGAAAATGCTTTGTCTCCATCAACTACATCAGCTACTTAACTGCTATTTTAAGACACTAAAGATAGAATTCACCTTTATCACAATTCTTTAGAAGATTTAGAGTAGAATTCTTTTGTATTTCGTCTTACCTTGTGGCAACAAGTGGGTAGCTGTGACACGGTGATGCCCAGGCATCTCTTGTCCACGGCATACAGTCATAAAGCAGCAAGTCCTTCTCAGTCACAGCCATGAGAACAGGTCTCCACTGCTGTCTTCCACCATCTAGCTTTGCCTGTTACAATGGTGAAATCAGAGCTAACTATGATGATAAGCCTCTGTGCAAGTCCTCGGGTGATGGCTTAACACAGTGGATACTTCTGCTTCCCTCCCCAACAGACTTCAGCTACAGGAATCATCCCCACCAGGCTGCTTCCCATAGTCAGGATTCCCTCTTGAGACGTGTGAAGTGGTGGGTATATTTGTTTTTTAAAAAAAATATTTTATTTGCCAGGCATGGTGGTGCACACCTGTAATCCTAGCATTTGGGAGGCAAAGGCTGGTGGATCTCTGAGTTCAAGGCCAGCCTGGTCTACAAAGTGAGTTCTAGGCCAGCTGGGGCTACAGGGAGACCTGTTTCAAAAAGACAAAAAAAAAAATTGTTATTTTTATTTTATGAGTGTATTGCCTGCATATATGTAAGTGTACCTGTGTCGTGTAAGGACTGCAGAGGCCAGAAGAGGCTGTCAGAACCCCTGGAACTGGAGTTATGGACAGCTGTCAGCTGCCCTGTGGGTGCTGGGAATCGAACCCAGGTCTTCTTAACCACTGAGCCATCTCTCCAGCCCTTTGTGGTAGGTGTATCTGAAATTGCTCACTCCCAGAAAGTCACAGACATTATCTAATGACAGGACAGTTTTTATCCCATTCCATAATAAGTGAGCACCACCAATTCTAATTAAATAGACTCTAATATGTTCAAACTAATAGTTTCAGTATATCTAAGGTACAACGGCTCCTAAGAAGAGGATACAAATGCCTGTCTTCTACTCCTGCAGAATCTACACAGTAGCCTTTTGATGAAGACCTAAAGTAAGGAGGAGCATGGTAGTACACGCCTTTTTATCTTAACACTCCGGAGGCAGAGGCAGAGGCAGGTGACTGTGAGTTTGAGGCCAGTATAGCTTACAGAGTGAGTTCCAGGCCAAACAAATACCAGTGCTGGAGAGGACTCACTCAGTTCCCAGCACCCATGTGGCAGCTCATAATCTCCTGTAACTCCAGTTCCAGGAGATCAGATGCCCTCTGCTGGTCTCTGTGGGCACTGTACACATGTGGTGCACTTACATAAATGCAGACAAAATGGACACATAAAAATAAATATTTGAGCCAGGTGTAGTGGTGCACTCCTTTAATCCCAGCACTCGGGAGGTAGAAGCAGGCAAATCTTTGTGAGTTCAAGGCCACCCTGGTCTACATAGTGAATTCCAGGATAGCTGGGGCTACAGGGAGACCCAGTCTCAAAAAGACAATAAAATAAATAATAAAAAGTAAATAAATAAATAAATAAATAAATAAATAAATAAATAAATAAATAAATAAAAGTAAATCTTAGGGGCTGGAGAGATGGCTCAGTGGTTAAGAGCACTGACAGCTCTTACAGAGGACCTGGATTTGATTCCCAGCACCCACATGGCGCCTAACAACTGTCCCCAACTCCAGTTCCAGGGGATCTGATGCTGCCTTCTGACCTCCATGGGCATTGCACGACACAGGTGTACTTACACACATGTAGGCAAAACACTCATACACATAAAACAAAAACAAAAATAAGTAAATTCTTTAAAAAAAAATACCAAAAAGCCTACAATAAGAAATACTCTTTTGGGTCTGAACTCAGCGGTTAAAAGCACTGGCTGTTCTTGCAGAAGACCTGGGCTCAAATCTCAGCACCCATGTAGTAGCTAACAACTGTCCATAACACCAGTTCCAGGCAATTCAACAGCTTCTTCTGTATGACACAGGTGTACTTACTTACATGCAAGCAATACATGTATACTCATAAAATAAAAATAATAAATAAAATGTTAAAAAAAAAAGAAAGGAAATACTCTTTGAAGCTGGATATGTTGGTGCACACCTTTAATCCCAGTGCTTAGGAGGCAGAAGCAGGTAGATCTGTGTGAGATGGAAGCCAGCATTGTCTACAAAGTGAGCTCCAGATCTCAACTGTGATTACAGGAAGATCCTGTCTCAAAAAAACAAATCAAGCCAAACCAAACAAAAAGAAATGTACTTTGCATTGTAATCCAACATGCACAAATGTGTATTAGTATTTTGAATATTTTATATTTTTTATATTCCAAAATAACACAACTCTGTATGTTGTACAATATAGTCTGAAATAACACAATACTGTATCTTGTATAATGTACTCTGATACACACACTCTGTGCAATCACTATACTGTCCAGCTAACACACCAGCCCTACACTGTATTTTGGTAAACACTAGTGTAAGAGTCTCCACTGCAGCCAGCCCGTTAGCTCAGTTGGTTAGAGTGTGGTGCTAATAAGAGTTCGCCATTATATTTTAGGAAGTGGACATTTTGGCTTCAAATGTATCAATGAATTTATATGCATACAGCAGTTATTTATGTAAAAGTTTTAAAATTTGGCTGGGTGTGGTGGCATATGCCTTTAGTCCCAACACTTGGGAGGCAGAGGCAGGTGGATCTCTGTGAGTTCAAGGCCAGCCTGGTCTACACAGTGAGTTCCAGGCCAGCTGGGGCTATAGGGAGACCCTGCTTCAAAAAAGACAAAAACACAACAAAAATAAGTCTAAAAATTTAGGAAAACAACCACCTACTGTTTATCCATATTGTCAGGGATCCAAGGTCAAAATCCAAAAGACCATGTTCAAGAAAAGCCCGGACATAATCAAAACTTCCGCCCTCCTTAGAGGAGCTTCAAGGAGGCTGCTTAAGAGCACTATGTTTTTTTTTAATATTTTATTTATTATTTTTATTTTATGTATATGAGTGTATTGCCTGAATATATGTAAGTGCACCTGTGTCATGCAGTACCCACAGATGTCAGAAGAGGGCACTGGATTCCCCTGGAACTGGAGTTAAGGAAGGGTTGTTAGCCACCAAGTGTGTGCTGGGAATTGAACACAGGTCCTCTGTAGGAGCAGTCAGTGCTCTTAACTACTGAGCCATCACTCCAGCCCCAGCACTTTTAAAAAAATATTTTGTTAGGTTTTTTTTTGGTCTTTTTGAGCCGGTCTCCCAATGTATTTTATGCCAGGCGTGGTAGCACACACCTTTAATCCCAGCACTCAGGAGGCAGAGGCAGGCGGATCTCTGTGAGTTCAAGGCCAGCCTGGTCTACATAGTGAGTTCCAGGACAGCTGGGGCTACAGAGAGACCCTGTCTCAAAAAGACAAAAAAATATAAAAATAAATATTTTATTATTTTTATTTTATGTGTAAAAGTATATTGTTTGTGTGTATTTATGTGCACCCATGTAGTGCAATGCCCAAGGAGGTCAGAAGAGGGGGTCAGATCCCTAGAACTGGGGTTACGGATGATTAGCTGCCTTGTGAGTGCTGGGAACCAAACCCTCTGCAAGAGCAGCCACTGCTCTTAACTGCTGAGCCATCTCTCTAGCCCCAATAGCATTGTATTTTTTATTATTATTATTTTACATGTATGAGTGTACTGCTTGCATGTAAGTGCACCCGTGTTGTGCAGTGCCCACAGAGCTCAGAAGAGGGCATCAAATCCACAGAAGCTGGAGCTACAGATGGTTATTAGCCACCATGTGGGTGCTGGGAACCGAACCTGGGTCCTCTGTGAGAGTAGTTAGTGTCTTAACCACTGGGCCATCTCTCCAGCCCCCAGTACTGTATTTTTTAATGTTAGTTTTAAAGTTTTATTATTTTTATTTTATGTGTATTCGCATATTGCCTGCATGTACGGAAGTGCACCTGTGTTGTGTAATGCCCACAGAGGTCAGAAGAGGGCGTCGGATCTCCTAGAACTGGAGTTCTAGACATGCCATGTTGGTGCTGGGATTTGAACCCAGGTCTTCTGCAAGAACAGCCAGTGTTCTTAGCCACTGAGCCATCTCTCCAGCCCCCAGTACTGTATTTTTACCCTGGTTCTCCAGGTCATTATACTGATTCCTCCCAGAAGGGATCAAGTATCAGCATTTGTTTCCTGTCCTTGTCTTCACAATCACTTCACTTTGTTTTCTTCAGTGACTTCTGAAGATAATCTGGATATGGCAGAACATCTGAGCATAGGCTGATCATCTGCCACGGCCTCCTTGGTTTGGCTATGTACTGCTTGTACTGCTTGCATGTAAGTGCACCCATGTTGTGCAGTGCCCACAGAGCTCAGAAGGGTAGAGCTCATAACATCTACCCTAGGGTCTCTTTTTTTCCTAGCCAGAGCCACAAGCTAATTCCTGGAGTGGGAAATGAAATCCAGCCTGTGAGGGAACCCATGTTTTACCACGTAATGAAAGCCACAAAAAGAATGATCTGACTCTGAGAATTCAAGTATTACAGAAATAATTACATGTTTCTTACCAGGGAACCCTGGCCTTCTAAGACTAACCTCTGTGAAGCAGCAATGTCTGGTGGAAGAACACCAGCTCTGCAGAGGTTCTCAGCTGGCAGAGGTGCGTATGTATGATCTCAGCACTTTGGAGGATTAGGATCAGCAGTTCAAGGTCATGCTTGACTATACAAGAGTCACAGGGCCATCGAGATGGATCAGCAGGCAGGGACACTTGCTGCCAACCTATGATCTGAGCTCAACCCCCAGGTCCCACATGGTAGAAGGAGAGAGCTGATTCCCATAAGCTGACCTTTGATCATCTACTGTGTGCCCACATACACACAGAAAATAAAGGCTAAAAAAAAAAAAATGACCTGGGGCTGGAGAGATGGCTCGTCAGTTAAGAACACTGGTTGTTCTTGCAGAAGACCCTGGTTTGAATCCCAGCACCCACATGGCAGCTAACAACTGTCTGTAACTCCAGTTCCAGGGGATCTGACAGCCTCTTGTGTCCTCTGTGGGCACTGCACGACACGGGTACACTTACCTACACGCAGGCAATACACACATAGACATAAAATAAAAATAATAAAATATTTTTTTAAAAATGACCTGAAAGAAGGACAGAGAGAAAACAAGTTTTTAGTCTTACTTTCTGGATCCTAGAGATCCCAACGCAATCTAGGTTATATTCAGTGCTAAGTCTTTGTCTCAAAGATTGTTATGGA